AGTGGGAAAGATTGCTCATCTTAATCCCTCGGAGCCTCGGGTGGATTCGAATAGCTGACCTTTGGGTTGGCAATACAACTGGAGGATCAGCTCTGAGTCAATTTCGACTTGATGGCAGTTGGCAGTCCACCCTCCAAGTAATTCTAGATCAGAAAACTTGTCTACTGGGCATCTATTAGAGGCTTCCAGCATGCTATACAAATGAGATCATGAGAGACAGCATCAGTGAGCAGGGAATTCACAGGGGGAAAACTTATCATCTTCTTGCCCCTGTTGTTGTTTTAAGTGCCGTCGAGTCACAGGCAACTCATAGCAACCCTATGACAAAAGACCTGGACTCTTGTATAACTTTCGTCCTTTCTCCAGGTTCATAGGGTTTCCAGAGGAAAGCTACTTCGGAAGTGGATGCCACTCCTGCTTACATGCTTGTTTTAAATCGGGAGCTCCACTAAACACTGTCCTCTATGGGTAACAATTATTGCATTTGACACATCAGTGTCAGTGTTCAGCTTCACAGCAACCACGAGTTACCTCTAAACAGCAAGTGGACAGACCAGGGCTATATGACCTAGAAGAATGTTTCACCAAAAACAAAGACAGTCAGAACTGTGGGAGTGGGTGGGGAGGCGACGGACACGTGAGGCAGGTGAGCTTTGATGGAAGTGAGAGGTTTGATGGGAGCCAGCACCCTGGCCAAGAAATAACACTGGAATTAACTTCTGAGCTCAACCTAGATACCACACGAATACAAGGGCCTGTCCAACTTTATAGCTGTCCTGTCCGAATCTCCAAACGGCCCCCTCTCATTCCTGCCAAGACACAGACTCCATTCACTGGCAGGGTCCCACCATCCGATGGCTCCACTGACCACCAGCTTATTCCTGATGGTCACTCAAATTCAGAGATCTTCCAGCTGTGTCCCTCATTACTGAGAAAACCCGTAAAGGGGAGCTGAGGGACAGCTGGAAACCTCTCAGTGCTTACTTCCACCCTTCATTCATGGCCACCCCTCTGGCTTTCTATACCCTCAGGTAAAACAGCCCACAAGTTTTACCACCTTCACCTTGCCCATGAACTTTACCTCTGGGATTGCTAGTTACACGTTTTGTGTTATTACTGCATATACCAATCATTAGCTGTATAAAGAGCTGGCAATTTGGAGCAGGGCTGTGGGCAAGGAAGGGTTCAGCTGATACGGTTATACAACCTGAAATTGAGTACTTTGGACTTTGGGGCTGCTAGGCTTGTAGCCTCAGCCTCTTGAGATATCAGAGAGAAGCAATGATAATTAAAGACACAGGGTGCTCTCAGGTTGCAAATGAGCACTCTTCAATTTATTGAGTCTTGCATAAAAAAAATGACTTGGGTTAGTCTCAAGTCTAGTAAAATAGCAAGTAGGACTCTGGACATACCAGCTCACCTCAGTTTCTTCATCTGTAACTTAAAAGGTTACAGATCATGGATCAGAAGCCTCAGGGCCCTCCTAGTTCCAAGATTACAAAAGCAGCTTAGAGGAAGAGCTTCTAAACTTACAAAGAAAGTAATCAGTCTTAAGAGTCCCTGGGTGGTACAATGCTAATGCTCTTGGTTGCTAATCAAAGGGTTGGCAGTTCAAATCCCCCAGAGTTGCCCTGAAAGGCAGGCCTAGAGATCCACTTCTGAAAAAACAGTCATTGAATGTGGGATCACCATGAGTTGAAATTGGTTTTATCATGGTGGCATATGATGTCACCCAGAGAGGGTGACAAGGCAGATGGATCTAGCTTCTTATGATACCAGTGCCTCAAATTCATGGCACAAGTTGTTTGGAGGTCTTCTTTCTAAGCCGGCTTTGCTACTCCTGGCTGAAATGGGGGAGCCTCTGCAGGAGTATGATGGTAATTGGGGAGCTGGTTGGGCACCTCAACTCCCAGGCCTTTCTGAATCACTTGACTTTCTTTCCAGAAGCCGGGGTTTGGGGAGGTGACTCTAAAAGTCCCAGACCAGGACCTTCTGTAATCTCTACTGTAATTAGGGAGGGAAGTAGAAGAGTAAGAGGAGAAACCATTTACTACTTCTCTGGGATTTGACAGCTTGGAAAAAGAGAGGGAGACAGAGAAACAGCCAGGGAAGGGGCCGGCCACAGGGAGTGGAACCTCCTAGTGAAATAAAACTGGGCTCAATGCACCTCATCAGCTGTCCTCTGTCAATACTTGGGCCCATCTGGCAGAGCCAGAGGTTCTCAGCTAATCGGCATTTCCCACACAGCCAGTAAATAAGAGCTTTTTAAGAAATATGTGGTGATGAGGGTGTGTGTGCGCGCGCGTGTGTGTGTAAGAGAGTGGGCTAACGATCACGAGAATACTTAAGATGCTAGCTCTGAGGATCGTTTATTACTGAAGTACAGACAGTCCCCAGCCCCCACCCCAGCCCCAGTTTAAAGATGAAGAATCCAGCCTGTTTGTTCCAGGCAGATGTAATCACACGAACAGTCAAGTCTAGAGGGCAGGACACTGCATGAATAATTCAAGCACTCCAGTCACTTGATTGTGTGTGCAGATAAAACACCAGTCAACCGCTAAACAGGTCAGCTGATAAACTTGTTTGCTCAGGCCTAACCACCATCCGCCAAATGCACCCAAGACCAGCACTACAATTAGTGGCAGGGTTTCTTCTGCAGAACCCTTGCAAGTCTGGGGAGTGGCCAGCCCCATTAGGTCAGGGTTGCATTGCTCAGTGCCTGGTTTATTCACCTCCTCGCCTCTTTGTTCCTACACAGCCACAGGGATTCACCCAACTCAGAGATTGCCATTAACCCCATAAGGTCACTGGAAGCAGGCAAACACACACACACCCACACATACCCCTCTCTCCATCTCTCTCTTCCTGTGAGGAAACAAATGGGAACAACTCTGAGGCTAAAAGGCAGAAAAATAAGTGAGAGAGAGAGAAAGACACTCAATTTGGAAAGCCAGAGACCTAGATTTGAGTCTCAGCTCTGAGCTCCTGTCCTACACTTGTATCTCCAATGCAAGTCCCGGTTTCCTTACTCATCAAACAAAAAGGGGCAACTGAAAGGATTAAACGCGACAATGCTGCCAAACCTCAGGCATTCTCTCCCTTAAGAGCCCAGTCTGGGGAATGGCCAGGAGTCCCAGATGCTCACAGCTGCTCTTATACAAACATCCCCACCAAATTCATTAAGATGTTTAACTCTTTGCAGGCACACGCAGTGTCCCCAGGACCCAGAGAAGAGTTTTGCTCTGCCAGGCCAGTGGATTCCTTGTGCCAAGGCACCATCCACTCCCAGACCTGGGGACACCATCCCTGAGGACCACAACATGCAACCACATGTTACACCTTAATTACAAAGTGCTAAGGCAAACTGCTGCTATAAATGTTAAACCCAAGTGCAATTATCCTCTTTATACACACCCAAGATACTAAGAAAGAAAAAAGAAGGGGTGAAGAAAGAGACATGGTGACACCTTGGCCTAGCTATCCAAGGTTCCTTGAACACCTGGGACCCCAACTCTACTTCAGGCATTCTATGACTCCTCAGAGCCAGGCAGTTCCACCTCAAACTGGGCAGAACTTGTTTCTCGAGCCCATTGCCCTGAAGAGGTCCATCTCGCTATCTGCTTACTATTTCCGTGGGTAACAAGTGAAAACTTCATCTATTTTTACACACGAAGGTTTGCTTTCATGTACCTTTGAAAAGCACAGACCCCCATTAGGCCAGAAACTGGCTATGGACATGATCAATAAATCCAGGTTCTTTTCAAGTAACAGTGGAGCTCTCCCAGGGAGGGCAAAAGAAATTCTACATTCAAAAGAGGCTCTGTATGAAGCCACTAGAGCGAGCTGGAACCTGTAAGGGCTCCAGAAGGTCACCTGCCCTGCTTACCTGCCCTGGGGCCTTGAGCTCCCCCCCTTAAAAAGTATAATTTACAGACCTTGTAAATGACTGTTAATTTAGCGCAGAAAATCTATATAAGTCACGGCACCAAAGGCTAGAATGAGTCAACAGTCTTTTGAGATTTCAAGAACACCAATTGTTAAAAAGAACAACCAGCCTGTGCCATTTATACGTGCCAAGTCAACTCCACCGGCCAGCCAAGCCAAATTATAGGCAGCCTCTCCTTGGAACACAAATACACAAACAGGCCTCTCCCACATCCCAGGCCCGCACCCGGACTAGTTACTGATATGCATTGAGATAAAGGGTATTTGTATTTGCACGGTTTGAGGTATACTGTTATTAGAACAGTGACAATATGAGGTAGTTTACATATCCATCAAAGGACAACAGGACTCGCCAAACTGGTTTGACTTCAGGATTTCAAAGCTGAGCTCAACTCCCCAGCCATCTCCACAGCCCTAGCGAGGCTGCCTGTGGGCAAAAGTTACTTCACCTCTCCAACTTCAGCTTCCTTCTCTGTGAAATGGGACCGCAGCTGCCTTCCAATTAAGACAAAGATGAGAAAGCTACCTCACAAATGGAAGGCGTTAGTGCTGTATTTCAAGCTGGCTTTGTGTTTTTAAGCAGTTAGTGGCTTTGCTCCTTTAAATTTCAGCTTGGCCTGGCTTTTAAGGCTCTTGAAGTTTAATCTTATCAAGGCAGAACATCGCATTTAAAAAAAAAACACAACCCTCCTCCTGCATTTCCTCTAGAGAATTTTACATTAAAACAGATAAAAGCAGCCAGTCACCTCAGGGTTTTCAAAGGTTTGTAAAGCAGATCCTGAAGGTACAACTCTCCCTTTGGTCCTTTATCCTCCACCAAGATCCAAGACCAGGACTAATTTCACAAGCTCCAATGCTAAAAGCTCAATCCATCCCTCAAGTACGCAAAGCTTCAGAGCTGGCATTTCAAGGACTGGATCCACTCAAGGAAAAGGGAGGGGGGCAGGGCAGCAAAACCAAGCTGGATTTTCAAACAGGAGGGGCCATAAACATTCTGCACATATCTAAGTTTGTTTTCTTAATTAAGTCCATTTCATAAAGAGGAAAGTGCTTACCTGCTTGTGCATTTCAATGTTCAAGCCGTAGGACATCTCATAGTACTACAAATAAAAAAGAATTACACACACAAAAAAAAGAATTACCAGGCAACCCAGAAATCGGTTCACTCTTCAAAGTCCAGGTTTCTTTCTTAGAAAGGATTTGGCCAAATTGTGCTTTGATGACACATTTGCTGAAGACATTTTAAATCTTGCCCCAAAGCAGGCCTACAGAGGAGTTTAAGAACTGACTATGGGTGAGAATTAACTTTCATTCAACAAAATATACACAGGAGTAAGAAACGCTCCGGGCTCTGCCTCCAACAAGCAGTGCATGTGCTATACATCCTGTTTATACAAGGTTTGGGTTCAACAGAGAATTGTGTGTACACTGGGACCCTCTCCTCCACTGAGAGATATTTAGCGATGTGTGGAAGGCCTCTTATGTGGAAAGCCGTAGAGGGAGTGGCACTTAAGTGCCTCCCATGCCCTCTCACAAATAGAAACCTAAATTTACTAGAAGCTAGGAAAAGGGAAAACAATCTACTGCTCCAGGGCTGAAAAGACTTTCAGTTGGAGAATCCAGAGAGAAGAGGAATGGAGGGAGGAGGGCGTTAAAAGGCTCTC